ATAGTATAGTATAGTATAGTATAGTATAGTATAGTATAGTATAGTATTTCATGCTGAATTTAAAAGAAAAGAAATGTTGAATACTAGACAAAACATTTCAGAACCAAGGACGGTTGTTTGTTCACTGGTAAATGCGTGAAAGGAAGAGGAGTGTTGGAAGTCATTTTGATGAGCATTCTGCCTAGGCTGTTTATAAGTTATCATCACAAAGTAGACAAGATTTAATGTGAATTTTTATTTTTTCAATCATATTTTTTAATGTTTTCTGAAAGTAAGTTTCTTTATTAGAGCATTTGTGTCATCTAGTATATCTCCAAAACTGTTAAAATTGTGGACAACTGTAATTATTTCCCAATTTTTGGATAATAAGGTGCCTTTCCTACAAAAGTAACATTTAGCTAAAAATTCTTAATTTGGAAAATAAAAAGAAAAACATTGCTTATCAGTTATTATTTTCTATCAGTTTCATAATATCTATTGCCTTAACCATTTAAGTAATTAATTTTAACTCTACACACGTTTCTCAGCAGAGCCAGGCTTAGAACTGACTTCGGAGGAAGAGCGCAAAGGGCCTGCCAGGAATGAAGAAAAGCTGTGTCGGGTGTGTGGTGCTCGCTCTTACCTGATAGCTGTCTTCTCTGATTTAATTGTGTTTGATGAAGTTTGGAGAATCTTGGAATGTTGGCTTCTCACATGACTCTAACGTTCCCTAAGCAGACACTTGGCACTTGATTCCTAAAGAGAATGCTGAAGTTCTGAGATTTGTTGGTTTGTAAAGATGAACACAAGTCAAGAGATAAGTTCAAAAGTAATGTTAGGTGATGCTTCTTGCCCAAAGAGGCATCAAATAACCTTGTAAAAGTCATACTTTCTAAGTTTTTCTGGTAAATCCAATCACATTATCAAGTAATTTTTTGATCCAAACTTAATTGTATCATATGTTTTGATATCAAAAAGTGTTAGGTTGGGCATGGAGACCTGGCTCAGTGCTTCAGAGTGCCACGAACCGGCTCAGGGGAGCCACTCAGACCGTGGGGAAACAGGACGAAGAACAGGAGTAATCAGGATACGGCGAGGAAATTGACAGACAAACCACTCTCAATGTATTTGAGAATGCTGCTGCGATTTTACTTCTTTTAGTGCAGAATTATATATTTTTTTACAATCAAAGAATTTGGCAAAGGCATACATCATCAAATCATAAAACAGCATAAAACAGTTTACAAAAAGAATCTTTGAAGATGCTTTGACTTAGGCACAAGGACTTCTGCTCTCTCATATTTTGTAAAATAAACTCTTTTTCTTGCCTTCAGAGAGGCCATTGCCCTTGAGCTAGGCTATCTTTATCAGCTTGTACCAGGTGGCTGGCTGGTTTGAGCTAAGTGACCTTGTGTGCCTGGGTGGGAAAGAAGAAGGCTACTATCTTCCTGGGAAAGCTTTCTGCTAGGAAATTTCTAAGACATAGTCTCGAACCTCTCTGAAACTCACTCCATATCACTAACCTCAACTCTCCTCCCTTCTCAATTCTCAGGCTCAGATATTGTCAGCTTAGGTTAGGTCTTTTTCTTCCCACGAGAAAGGTTTCATAGGCCTTCTGTTTACAATTGTACATATTTCCCAGGCAAATGCCTAAGGCTTCTAAGGTTTTTCCTGGTAAAATTAACTCCTTTTGTTCCACATCATCAAGGAATTGTCCTAATGATGACCCTGCCAATTCCTAGAACTGGCTACTTTTAAGGCTTTAATGAATAGTGGGGCAGAGCTCAAAAATGTCCTCAGCAGTCTTGTTTGTATCTGCAACTGCCTGGAATAGTCTGATCTGTTAGCAATATGCAAGGATCACAAAGAACACACAGACAAGGGAAAAGACAGACATATGGCGCCAAGTTGAGTCAGTACAAATGGCGACTCAGGTGGCATTACACCACAAATGATTGCCAAGGGACCGCCCGAAACACAGCTCCAAGAAGCACAGATCTCAATCCTCCAGCAACACCTGCCTGCCTAGTCAACGTTTCTGCTACACTGGCGAGACAGCCGTGGATGTAGCACAGAGAACATCCAGCTCTTCCTGAGGACCCAGTTCAGTTTGGTTCTCAGCATCCACACTGGCAGTTCATAACCACCTGTAACTTGCTCCTGGGATCATGCCCTCTCTTAGCATCTGTATTCATGTGCACATTCCACACACAGGCACACATCTATGCAAAATTTTAAAATAATAAAAATAAATCTTTTTAAAGTTAGATAATAAAATATACTGTGTCACGTAACTGTTGGGGGAGGCTGCTTGTCCATTTCCCGGCCATCCAGACTCCCGAAATAATTACACAGAAACTAAATTATTTGCAATACTGTTTGATCAATAGCTTAAACATATTTCTAGATAGCTCTTACATCCTAAACTGACCCATCTCCATTAATCTGTGCATCACCACGAGGTTGTGGCCTACCAGCAAAGTTTCAGCAGGCACGGGTGGAGACGTCTGTCTCCTGTGGCAGCTACATGGCTTCTCCCTGACTCCGCCTACTCTCTCCTATTCTGTTTGCTTGGAACTCCCCCCTTGCCCTATTTTGCTAAGCCACTGGCTGGAGCAGTTTTATTCACTAACCAAAAGCAACACAAGGACAGAAGGACCTCCATGAAAACTTCGTCTGAAGAAGCATTGCTGATTGTGAAGATGCCTCAGAAGAGGAAAGGTGGCGTTCTGTGCCCCATGGCATGAAGAATTGCTTGGGCACCTGATGGCAAAAAAATTACAGTTAGCCATATGTGTGCAGATATTAAATACCAGAAAAACCAGTCCAAACAGAAAAGATAAAATTTAATTTCAGCTGATCCTGCAGGGAGGTGACACAACTAACTTCCATTTTCCCAGTGGAAGCCCAGAGTGAAAGAGCAGATGCAGTGACGGACCTCCTTCCAGAGCCAAGAGGGGTGCAAAAGTAAGACCCGGAGAGACAAGCAGGATGCTTCAAGAGAATGGTGTTTTATCCTAGCTCTTTGAAGACTTTGTGTGAACCAGGTGATCAGTACTGAGGAATTCTGAGCCCATTGTTTAATGTGACTGCAAAAGATAGTTCTACGTCCAAGCTATTGGCGTTTCTGCTGCTTTCTGGATGCTACCAGAACCCAAACAGATGGTTGTAATGATGGAAATATAATTTAGTTTCTGATATCGAGTCTATATTTAGGGCCTAGCCAGCCGTAAAAATGAAATATGCAGAAAATGTTCAACACAACATGACAGAAAAGGGAAATGGGCCTGTCTCTCCCGGTCCCATTATTTTCACAGGGGCTGACTAAACACGGGGTTCAAGTGTCTTTGCAGAGTGCGCCAAAAAGGTGAACAGCATTTAAAACAATGGTTCCATTTGGAGTAAAAAAAAAAAAATGCTAGATTGGACGGCTTTGGAAGATAAGTGCCCACAGGGACCAGAAGAGGTCAACAGATCTCCTGAGAGGTGAAGGTAATGGAAGTTCTGAGCTGCCCTCTTAGTACTAGGAACCAAGTCGGCTCCCTCTGCGAGTGCTCTTAACCACTGATCCCTGTCTCCAGCCCTCTACTTAGATATTTTACATGCAGAATGAAACAACAAACATCTGGTTCCAGTCCTCAGAAACCTGTTTGTTCCTGAGTCTTCCTTGTTTTTATTTTAAAAACTTTGGCATTTTCCTAGGTAGTATCTTTGAGCCTCCTCCGCTCTTGTTAAGGTTGATCACTTCCCCCTTGTAATTTAAATCTTAACCTGAATGAAACAGCTAATAGAATCTTATCAAATAATTACAAAGTACTCGATATATGCCGTGTGCTGGGGAAGACCAGTGAACAAGAGTAGGCAAGTCACGTGGAACCTACACTTGACTGAGAGAAGACTAGTTGGCAGTTGTTAAATGAATAAGGTAAAAGTAAAATCTTTTTTGAAGGTGCAATTGTGGAGAAAACAGAAAGGGCAATATGACAGATGAATTCCCGGGGCAGGGGTGCTATAGTCAGGCCTTAGAAAGCTGGTCACCTGCCTAGACTCACAGTTGTAGAAAAGATAATGAATCCAAAAGTTGAATTTTTTAAAAAGTTACTTGCACACAAAACAGGCAATACACCTTCAGAGCACTGAGTGAATCACTCTGAGGCCTTATTTGGCGATTCTCTTATTCAGAGAAGGCAGGGAAGGCTGGTGTGGATCATGGCTCCTATTGTTTAAGAGGCACCTTGCTTTCCACAATCCCATACTATCCACTCAGCATTTGCATTTCACTACTTGAAACCAAGAGTCGGGTGATAAAAACGAACTAAAACAGTTGATGCTAATTGTGGAAAAGTCAGCAGCTATCCTTTGTCTCAAGCCTTCCTTAAAGGTTGAAGAAGAAAGGAAGCAGGAATGGGACGGAGGGGAAGCATCAGAGAGCCTGTGTGCTGCTGCTCTTGACCACGGTGACGGTGGATCACCTCTAACAAGGAAGAATGGGACGTCTGGCTCCCTGCGGTCTCCTAGTACCGACATCAAAGAGCAGGATGGGTAAGAATGTGGTGATATTGCACAAGAGGACATTGTTTTGTTCTATAAAATTATAATTTAGATTAACAAACTTTACTTCTATTTGAGATATCTGGGCATTATAAAAGCAAATGATTATAAAAACAAATAAGTAATCATACAGCTTTTCTGATCACATTGATAAGTATTTTGTATAAAAACAATAACTAGGGTTGGAAGATGTGTTAAAAAAAAAAGTAATATCACTGTCTCCAAATGAAATGGATAAGTAATTTTTGAAGGTAATATTCATTCGAGGTTTCCTATATTTTTAATCTTAAAACTTGACTTTTTAAAAAATTGAGACAAGGCCCACATTGTCTGTAGCCCACACTGACTTCTAATTTGCAGAAATTCTTCTGTATCAACCTCCCAAGTTCTGTGATTACAGGTGTGAACCACCACACCCAGATTCTACAGAAAATTCTACAGAAAAATGTGACCAGTAATCACACTCATGCACACAATAAAGGACCAGCGAGAGGGCAGAAATCATTGTGGTTACTCTAAATTAAATGCACATATCTAAAGTTTGAAAACTAATATTCACACATAAGAGTTACCAAGCCTGACCTACTTCGCTCAGGATGATTGTTTCTGGTTCCATCCATTTACCTGCAACTTTCATAATTTCATCTTTTAACAGTTGAGTAATATTCCACTGTGTAAGGGTGCCACGTTTTCATTATTTATTCAGCATTGCTGGACATGCTGGCTGTCATGACTAGGGCAGCATTGACCGTGAGTAGGTAGTGCCTCTGTGGTAGAATGTAAGTCCTGTGGGTACACACCCAAAGTGATGTAACTGGATCTGAGGCAGGCTGACCACACTGAGTTCCTTGGTTGCTGTACAAGCTGGCACTGTGCCAGCAACGGATACGAGTTCCTCTTTCTCCACATCCTCACCAACATCTGCTACCGTTTGTTTTGCTAATCTTGGCTATTATGACTTGGGTAAGATGAAATCTTAAAATAGTTTTGATTTGCGTTTCGAAATGTTTCTCAGTCATTTTGTGTTTCATCTTTTGAGAACTCTCCTTTTGGTTCTGTACCCATTTTTTTTAATTGAGTGTTTGTTTCTTGATATTCAGGGTTTTTTAGTTTTTTATATAGTATAAATACTAAATCCTCTATCAGATATATAATTAGAAAGTTTTTTCCACTCTATGAGTATATGAATATTTTAAAAGCAAACTTTTGCACAAGCTATTTCCTTATTATTTCATGTTAAATATTTTATTTTGTTTTTCTTTCACCATTTTTTGTCTGTGGGGGAAGAGTTGCATGCATATATATATATATATATATATATATATATATATATATGCGCATGTTTTGTACTTGTATCACATATGTGTGGTGATGCTCTTTCTCACAAGTGTCTGTGCTTGAGTATGGAAGCCAGAAATTGGTATCAGAAATCATCCTCAATTGGTAAATAATTTTTGGACATATCTCCCAGTCAAACCCAGAGCTCACGGATATGGCAGATATGGCTAATCTAATTTTCAAGACATCTTTCTCTGGGGCATCCCTGACTCCACCTCCAGCAGCTGGAATTCCAGGCAGCCCTCCATGCCCACCCGGAATTACAGGTTCTAGGGATCTGAGCTGCAGTCCTCGCACGTGCTGGCACACTCCCCAATTCCTCTTTCATGTAATTTTTAAACAACAATTGAATTAATCATATTTTTAAATAATGAAACCAAAATTGTAGCCCCAGTCTAGTTATTTCTTCCATGTCCAAGGGTAATTGCTCGTAGGCCGGGAGGTCGGGCATTCAGTGAAGTATTCAAGGTTAGCGTGCCGTTCATTTCTGGTTACTCACTTTTGTTCCACAAGTTTCCAGAAAATCACTAACTGCCAGTTTGCTTTTTTTCCCTTTTTCTTTTTTTTCTTTTCAAGTATTCATAATCTTTATCAGTTTTCTTTTTTATCTATTCATATATTACATCCCAACTACAGTTTCCCCTCCCTCCTCGCCTCCCAGTCTCTTCCCCCACCTCCCTTCTTCCCCAGATTCACTCCTCCTCCATTTCCCTTTGGAAAAGGGCAGGCCTCCCAGAAATATCAACCAAACATGGTATAACAAGTTACAATAGGACTAGGCACATCCTCTCCTATTAAGGTTGGATGAGGTAACCCAGTAGGAGAAAAGGGTCTCAAAAGCAGGGAAAAGAGTCGGAGACAGCACCTACTTCCACTGTTAGGAGTCCCATGAGAACACCAAGCTGCATGACCATAACTTAGAGGCAGAATGCCTACCACAGACCCGTTCAGGTTCTATAAGTTTTTGCTTTAGTCTCTGCGACCCGCTATGAGCCCTGGTTAGTTGATTCTGTGGGTCATTTCCTTGTGGTGTCTTGACCCTTCCAACTCCTTCCTCCCCCTCTTCCTCAGGTTTCCTCAAGCTCTGCCTAAAGTTTGGCTGTGGGTCTCTACACCCGCTCCCATCAGTTGCTGGGTGAAGCCTCTGATGACAATTGGGCTAGGCTCCATCATAGAAGAATATCATTAGGAATCATTTCATTGACTTGTTTTTATGCCAATCATATTTGATTCTCTCCTTGGTCTCTGGGCTATCCAGACCCCTGGACCTCCAGGCAAAGTCAGACATGGGCTCCTTCTTATATCATGGGCCTCAAGTTGAACCAGTAATTCACTGGCCACTCTAACAATTGCTGTGTCACCTTTAACCCCAGCACATCTTGTAGGCAGGATAGATTGTAGATCAAAGATTTTGTGACTGGGTTGATGTCCCAGTCCGTCCACTGGAAGCCTTACCTGGTTACAGAAGATGGTCATCTCGGGTTCTCTATCCCCATTACTAGGAAACTTCACTGGGGTCAGCCTCATAGGTGCCAGGGAATTTCCATTGCTCTAGGTTTCTCCATTGCCCCTAAAACGCCCCCAATTCCAAACTGAGAGATCTACCTGTTCTTATCTTTGCATTTCCATTCCAGTTAAGAAGTGGTTCTCCCTCGTCTTTTCCTGCTGGGCTCTTCTGTAATCTGTGTCCCCTGGAAACCCTTCCTTGCTCTCAGACCAGGGTTTTCCTGAGCCAGTTCTTGCATATAGTTCTGCACCAGGCCTGGCTGGCATCTTGTCTTTAAGCAAGGAGGATCCGTTTCCTCATCTTCAGCTACTACTTTATAACTTCTTTCAATTAGTAAAGTAGGATGAGAAGGGTTGGATTTTATAGCATCGTTTTCATAATTTCAGTCCAAAGAATCATTGGAATGTATTATCTTTTATGATTTTTTAATTAGTGGTTTTGCCTCTAATGTAAAAGAAGAAAAGGAAAGAGGGCATGAAAACTGGTCATCTGGAGACTTTGTGACTGAACTGACGGCTGGGGGGTCTGAGTTGGCGGCTCATCTCCTGAGAGTGAAGGATACTTGCAGTTTAAATGACAGCAGCCCTGATAAAGGAAGGTAAAAACTGTAAACTCCCCATGAAGGGGAGGGGGTGGCAGTGGTTTTTTTTTCTGGAAATAGAGCAAGTTGATTTTCTGTTTATACTCGGATGCCTTAAAGAAAATGACTATAAACAACCTGTAACTTCATGATGAGAAGAAATTAATGACAACTGCAGAAACTTTATACAAAAAGACTTTTTGTATTTTGTCTGAAAGGATTCTATGTTCTTCTTTTTTTCAGGTCTTCAAATCAAAAATCAAAGGAAAAGCACAAGGTACTGTAGAACTCAAACCCAGATTTTGATAGTGGGAGCAGAGCACACCCACAGAGCCCTAGGCAGCCATCTACAATGGGCAGCAGCCCACTATCCTTACATCCTCCTGCGAGGAGCCACAGCTTCTGTCCACCAGCATCACCGTCACCTGGCAACCACCCAGTGACACCCTCAGCACTGCCCACCTCAAACCTGGCTCCATGGGCATTCTGCAGGAGGCTGTAGCCTGGGTGGCCTCCCAGAGGCAATGCCCAGTTGTACAGACAAGAAGGACAAAGCAAGGAAGACTTAGGAAACAACACGTTGTGTAAGATAAGAATATGGTTTCACCAAGAGGAGGGACACCCAGAGAGATGTGTTCTGAGAACTAGCAAGAATCAGCCCAGGAAGGCGAATTGCTCTGTAGGAGAAAAGGGTCTGGAGGTAGCAAATTTTCCAGTTCAGGTGGAGATCCCACTGAGGAGAGTAGAAATACCACAGACCTCAACCATTGCAGAGGTTGTTCAGGCCCCAGGACAGGTCCACATTCAACCAACAGTGCAAACAGAGAGAGCAGTGCCCGCAAAGGTTCCAGCCTTGCCGCATGCAGTGCCCTGAACAGCCAGGTGCACAGAATGAGAGCCACAGCATTCCTGCAGGGGTCTCCATTAGCTGAAGACAAGAGAGGAGGTCTAAAGAGAGGATGACGGAACTCAAGGAGATGAAACCCAAGGACAGCAGCCACCTCAGAGCGGGTCCCTCTGTCACTTCAGTTACCAACTCAGGTGCCGGAAATCCACAGACCACATTAATGGAAAAGAGAAAAAACATCAGTGGGGCCGAGTGAAGGCTGCGGCCATTTCTACTAGCACAGGGGTTAGTCACCCTTCACGCAAAAAGGGGTCAAATTCCAGCAACAGACAAACTGAAGATCCAAGCTGAAGACCTTGAGAGACTGGTTCCTCACTCATTTACCTGATAGCTAGACCCATGCAGTATCTATGCCGCACATGGTTTTCAATCTGTAGTCACAGGCGTACATTTAGTCAAAACACTTGGACACATAAAATTAAAATGAAGAAGGAAAAGGGTTAGACCCTTCTGTTTATATAAAGACATTTGCTTAGGAAGAGAGATTAGAACCAGAGGCCAATGATAAAACTACCCTTTGGCAAAAATCAGTCCTTTTCAGAAGTGTCCACATTTCTGCTTAGTCTTTTTTGGCTGTATGCGGTATCCCTATCTGAGGAAAGTGATCTAGTGTAGTGTGTTCTACAGGTCAGAAGAGAAACGAAAGCTGTGGAAGACACTGATGACCTCACTCAGCCATCTGAGCCGTCCCCAGAGGGCGGCAAGTTGCCAGACCCTCATTATCAAGGTACTGTCCAAATATTTTTTTTCCTTTTATTGAAAATAATTTTTTCCTCACATAATTGCATTTTCCCCTCCTTCTCCTCCTAGCTCCTCCCCACTTCCCACCCCATCCCAATCCACTCCTTTTCTGACTTTTATTAGAAAACAAACAGGCTCCCAAGGGATAACAATAAAATAAAATAAAATAAAACAAAATAAAATAAAAGTGTTCCAAGGTCTCTCGCTCTATGCACATTGTCTGACTGTGGTCTCTATATTTGTTCCCATCTGCTGCAGGAGGAAGCTTCTCTAATGATGGCTGAGCCAGGAGTAAAACAGAATATCATTAAGAGTCATTATAATGTTACACTTTTTTGTTTGTTTATTTGTTTGTTTTTAGAACGGTATTATTTGATTTTGCCCTAGATCCCTGGGATATCTAGTCGCAGGTTCTTATTCACCCAAGCAATGTCAATTATGGGTTCCAACTCATGAAGTAGGCCTTAAGTCAAATCATATATTGGTTGGTAAATCACATAAGCTTTGTGCCTCCATTGCCCGAGTGTATCTTGCACGCAGGACACCACCGTAGACCAAATGGTTTGTGCCTGGGTTAGTGTTTACATTTCTTCTCTTGTGACCTGCAGTGTTTACATTTCTTCTTTGATAGCCTTCCTTTGCGACTTTCCTGTACCAAAGGTGCTAGAACAGAAGGGTGAAGGCTCTGTAGAGGCACCAGCTCAACATCTCCAGGTTCAGTGAGTTGTGTAGGTGTTATCTTCAGCATCAGAGCCTTACTTTCAGTCTGTGGAGAGCAACCTATAGTCTCGGCAACAGCCTGGATGTTTAGGGGTTCTCATGGGATCCCTATGACCAACAGCTCAATTAGATGTAACCCATGTAACTGATCCTGCAGTTTTCTCCACCAACCTCAGACTCCACACTCCACCTGTCTCTTCCCCTTTATATTCCTCTCTGCGCCCAGCCATAATCACTCCTGTCTCCACCTCCCTAGTGCTGGGATTAAAAGCCTGTGATCCCAAGTGTTGGGATCACCTTTGTGTGAGCTTTTTTTTCTCTCTTTTAGAGAATATATGGTATTAAAAAAGAAACTGTCTTCAATTTTAAAAGAAAAATGATCACTGTCCATCTTACAGAGGCAGACCTTTGTCCTACCAGACAGCAAACAGAAACGGAAAAGGAGCCCTGGGAGCTACTGAACAGGAAAACTGGAAATGTGGAAAACAGAGAAGCTAAAGAGGAGGGGATGAAAACAGAGCCCGTGAGATCAAGGTTAGACCACAAAGGCCTGGAGAGGAAAGAGCCCTACAGTTCGAGGATGATTGCTTTTGAGACGATGTTAGGGGAGGAGATCCATGGAACTGCTTGCTGACTGTGTAACCACCCCCTCCGGGTTTTGTATGGGAGAAAACTTCCTTGTCTTGTGAAGTATGAAATCCTTGCAAATTCCCTAACCGGCCATTGCCCCTTCATATTTCCAACAATTGGGCGCACATTGTTGCAAGTCATAATTTTAACAGCTCTATAGCGGCCGTCCGCATAGGCTTGCTACTACTCAGCAGTAAGGAGTTGGCCGTCCTTTTCATGTCTTTTTTAAAGGAATGATATAAAAGAAACTCAATGTGAGAGAATTGATGGTATAAAGGATTTGTTGGTAAATTTGCTGAGGAGACATTTAAAAGGGAGAATTTAACTAAGGGAGCACAGACTTCTCAAAATACCCCAAAGGTAAGTAGTCTGCAAACCAGTCCTGTTAGAGATAAACCAAATTTATGATACTTGAATATAAGGGTTTGTTGGCCGGGATTGACCAGTCATTGGGTCCATCCCCTAGGAACAGGCTCAAGGGGGCCGTGTCGGGTCACAACCATCACCAAGTTCTGGTGTGCCTTGAAGTCCTTTGTGCTTTTATTAGGAAAAAACTTAATTCTACCACATAGCCAAGATGGGTAATAACGATTCAAAAAAGACAACTCTAGTGCACATAAGAAATAACTCCAGCAATTGTTTGCTGTGTAAACCTCCCATCTGCCCACATGGCCGGATTTGCAGTCGCCTGGCTCTGTTTAAATTGTTCAGAGGATAGCCTAGGGCCAGGACCTAAAGGAGACTTAAGGATGACAGAGTATGTGAAATGCATAAGCCCATGGTGTATATTAGTTAGTGACATCTTCTGCTCAAGGTCAGCTCTTCCTTGGACGTCAGCCAGAGCCAGACACACTTGTCCTTCATATCTAAGCATGTGGAGTGATTCCTCACTGGGAAAGCATGCTGTTTCTAATACACTGTGTGTGTGTGTGTGTGTGTGTGTGTGTGTGTGTGTGCATGTGTGTGTGGTGTTGTTGTTGTTTTCTGTGTTTTTAATGACTTTTTTAAATACGGAATTATTGTCTTAAATAAATGACTTTAATTAATAAGTTGAGTGTGATGGCTCACGCCCGTAATCTCATCCCTGAGAAGGCTGAGTCAGAAACATAAAGGAAGGTGAAGGCCAGCTTGGGCTACATAGTGTGAGCTCCACCCTGCTCTGCACTGTAGTGTGAGACCCTGTCTCAAAAAATAAAAATAAATAGAAATGTAGAGACAACTTTGATCCATTTGCTTAAGTTGTTCTCACAAAAGCTGTATTAACTTACCGTCCCACCACAAATGTAAGAAGTCATTTTCTCAACAGAAGTTTTAGAATCTATGCAGTGGTGCTGTTTGTTTGTTTGTTTTGGTGCTGGAGATTAAACTTCTTCTTTGTGAGTAATGCTAAGTTACACCCAGCTATCCGTTTGTTGTATGTGTATGTATGTATGTATGTGTAGCTATCTGTTTGTTGTGTTATGTATGTATGTATACTACATATATACATTTACATATATGTATGTATACTACATATGCAGGCTGAGAGACCACAAGAGGGCATTGGATTCCCTGGAATTAAAATTATAGACAGTTTTGAAGAGCCATGTGGGTGCTGGCAACCCAATCCAGAATCTCTGCAAGAGACCAGTATTCCTAACCACTGAGCCATCTCTCCAGACCCAACACCTTTGTTCTGAACCTGTGCTAAAGAGAATAGATGACTATTAATTTATTCAAAACCTCTCTCTCTGTCATTGATAAAGTAAATTCAGCTTTCTATGTTGAAAGAACAGTATATTTTTTATTACTGAATCAGTTGATCTTGTATTGATTTTTGAATTGCTTATCAAAATAATAAGATGAATCAAAAACATTAGTAAAAGGTAAAATAGACTCCCTAGTCTTGCCCTAAAAATCTCGTAATGTGCATATGCTTATTGTTTGAAAGCTTTGGAATGGCTCTTTTACATTGTAAATCGTTTGAGGGGTGCATGTCATGTTTTATAAAAAATAAAATTTTATTTCTAACTAACTCACATGATTGTTTGCAGACAATAGTTTTTAGAGATTAACTTTCCATTGCCTGTTTTTATTAGGGGGTTATGTAGAAAATGATATCAAATTATGTACAAACAGTCATATTCCACTTGTCAAATTGTTGAATAGTTTCAAGATGGCTTTTTCAAAATAACTACCAAAGTTTCTCTTAACAGAAACTTATCCATCAAGAAAACATTCTTTCATTATTACCTTCCCAGTATATATGATCTCTGGAAAAGATTAAAATAAGAAATTAAAAACATGGGATCTAGAAAAAACATTGAAACATAGATTAGGATCATGTCTTGTTAGAATAATGAAAAGCAAGATCAAGCTGTGAAAATTTTGTCTTTGAAAAAAATGAATTTTAAGTTAAGTATATTTAATCACAGAGTTGCATTAAAACACAAAGAGAAGAAGAAAGAGAATGAAGGAGTGAAGACCGAGTTACCAGGGAAAGATGGACTTTCCACCAAAGACGCTGAAGACCAGCAATATGCCATGGCTCTGGGGATCCTGCACATGAGAGCAAAGCAGACCTTGTGTCAGGTAAATTAATTGCTTACTATTAATTTTCCTTAATGTGTGTGACTTTATTTTATCAATATTAGTCATACTATCTCTAATTAAAAAGCAGTATATCCTGCATGACTATCATTGTGGGTTTGGTCCCTTGTTGACCAAAATATCGCCATAAGGTCTATAACTCTATCATGTATGTGTTTAACAAAATGTTATTTCAGGATCTGGGTGGGTGGCTCAGTGGTTAAGAGCATGCTGTTCTTCCAAAGGACCAAAGTTCAGTTCCTGGCACTCATGTTGGCCATTTTAAAACCGCATATAACTCCAGCTGCCGAACATCTGGGACCCTCTTCTTGCTTCCAGGGACCCCTGCGCATGCGTGGCATGCACACATAGGCACAGAAACTTGTTTTAATTGAAATCTAAGGAAAATGGAATAATGGCATCTATAGCCAAATAGCTACAGTAAATCCTGGAGGAATGAGTGAGGAGTTTTATCATTGGGCTGTCATAAATGTTAACTGGGGCACTTTTTATGTCAAAATGCAGGCTCATGAGCTTTACAACTGTAAAGAGACTTGTTCTGTGTTTCACAAAGAAATTCCCTTCACAGTCGTGTCTGTGCCTCACTCTGTGATAAGGTTCCCATGTAGAGTGGCAGTCTCTCCCTGGACATTAACCAGCTTTCTTTGCGTATATTTTTGAAAGTTCTGCATTTAATTAAGCTTTCAGGCTTTTTGTCACCAATGATGTGGACTTAAACCTTCATGAAGCGTACCTTTAATGACAAAGAAGAAAACAGCACTCACTGGCAACTCACAGAGAACCAAATGCCAGACTCTTCCGAGGTCGCACTTTGCAAAATCACCATGGCAAGCAAAAGTTAAATGCACAAGAGAAAAACCAGAGTACAGACACTTTCTGTCAGTCATTTGCAGCTGACTGATGTGTTGGTCCGTGAATGTGCACATGTTTTAGAAAGGAAGCTACATGTGTGGTGAAAAACAAAGAGAATTTTTAGATTTTCATCTTTACTTCTATTTTTATTTTATGTGTATGAGTGTTTTTGCTTGCGTGTGTGTGTGTGTGTGTGTGTGTGTGTGTGTGTGTGTGTGTGTGTGT